AATTGATTAAAAAAAACTCCTTTTGAAGCTTTTTGTATATCAAATCCAAGTTTAACGGACAAATTGAGTTTTCTTATAAATAAAATCTTATGCTACTAAAATAATAAGAGAAATTTGTCTTATATTTTTTAAATTAAGGCTCCGTTTATTTTCGTAAAATAACTAGCAAGAAAATATTTTCCACAATTTTCCGTTGTTTGGGTCATTTAGAAAAATAAGTCAACAGAAAATATTTTTCTGGTCAAAGAAAAATTAAGTCATTTTTAAAGGAAAATAATTTCTCATTTTAAGAGAGTAAAATATTTTCGGATATTGACAAACCTTATAAATCCATATTTTTTAAATTTATTAATCACTGTAGTCACTACCACCAATTACTATTTACAACCGCCACAAAACACCGGCTACCACTCCCAGCCACCCGTTGCTTTCATAATTTATATATATATATTTTGCGTTGTTCTCATATTTGACAATAAAAATTTTAAATTATAAAATTTTTATTATTCACAACTCAGAAATTGGATCTTAGAACTATTAGCCAGAGTCAATTGAAATTAGTAGTGGAGCCATAGATTTGTATTGAAAGATAAAAGCTCTCTTTTGAAGCCGTTTGTTGGATAGGTCAAAGTCCGAAGTTTAGACGGACACAAATTTGTAGTTTTCTTATAAATAAAATCTATATGTGCTTACTAATAATAGGATAAGAGAAATTTGTCTTATATTTTTTAAATTAAGTGCTCTCGGGCTTTATTATCGTTAATACTAGCAGAGGAGAAAAATTATTTTTTCGCCACAATTTTTCCTGGTTGTTTGGGTCACTTTTAGAAAAACTAAGTCCAACACGAAAAATATCATTTCTCTTGGTCAAAGAGAAAATTAAGTCCATATTTTAAAGGAAAATAATTCTTCTCATTTTAGCCCCAGAGTAAAATAATTTTCTGGATATTCGACAAAACCTCTATAAATCCATATTTTTAAATTAGTTACATACCCGTAATTTTGTAGTCTCGTAGTACCATCCAATACCATTTACCAACCGCCACAATAGACACTTGCGTACCACTCCCAGGTCCACCCGTTGCTTCAAACGGTGCGTAGTATCATACATCCACCTTCTTTGCCGTTGTGTTCTGCTTTCATAATTTATATATATATATTTTGCGTTGTTCTCATATTTGACAATAAAAATTTTAAATTATAAAATTTTTATTATTATTAATACTTTTTATGGTCTTATGAGACAAAGACTTTAATATTGAATCAAACAATAGAAAATAACTCATTTGAAAAATATTTTTCAAAGAAAATATTTTATATAGAAAATATTTTTCTGCAAGTTATTTTACGAAAATAAATGAAGCATAATATTAAAACTTCACACTATTATTGTTTTAACTCGAGGATAAATATGAAATTATCTCCGAGTGGGCTTTAAAGTTTAAATTTCACTAATGGTGTTAAAATTAGTTATATTTCCATACTACGCAATCATGTATTTATATGTTGTTTGAATAACATTGCTATTGAAAGATGTGACTTTTTAAAAAAGTTTACTTAAATTTTTTTCTTTAAAGACATACTCATGCTTTTTTTTTTTTTTATTTGAATATTTAAAGAGTAAATTATTTATCCTTGTTCAAATGTTCACACTTTTGAAATGAGCAAATATTTGATATTAAAGTGTATTAAAATGAATAAAGACCGAGGGATCTCATTCTCATCGATAAAAATCACATTCAAATTTATTAGTTCATACTACTTGTATGATTCAAAGATTCTCACATATTGTATAACTCGATGCTTGCTGAGTTTTTCAAGCTTGATTCAAAAAAATTTTAAAAAATTCGGTTCAAAATTGAACTTGAATCTAATGATGTTCAGCATTAAAGCTCATCGAGTCTTGTCAAGTTTTTATATACATATACATATATATTTATTTGAGGCTTACTCGAGTCTCAAGTCGAAAATTTTTCTAGTTGAACTTGAGTCTCAAATCAAACTCAAGCCTAAAATTTTCAAATTCGTTCACTTTCAAACTAAATTGTATTTAATTGAATTTCGAGCCTAGGCTTTTTTATACTCCCGCTTATGTCCTCATAATATTGTGTAAAGTTCAATTCATAAGGTAATATATTTTCTACACTGCAAATTGTAAAAAAATAAATAAAGAGGAAGAGGTGCATAAATAAATAGAATATTAAACTAAGAGAATAAGAGGAGTATAAATAAATAGAATACTAAAAGAAAAGTTTATTCCATATTTAATAGATAAGAAAAAAAAAAGAAAATGGAAAAACAAAGTCATAATAATCTCTATATATCTATTATTATAAATAAATTTTAAAAAATACCTCAAATGATTCAATTAAAATATATAGAAAAATGAAGAAAAAATCAATATATATATATTAGTCACAAATATACTTTTGAAAAATACCTCTTTTCATAATTGTTTTTTCCATTTCAAAATTTTAATTAATTAATTAATTTTGCTTATTTCAAATTTTATCTTTTATTTTAACAATAGGTAATGACACGGAAACACAATCCGCCGAATATAAAAACTAAACGGGTTAGAATTGAGTCTAAATGTGTTCGTGTTATAAACAGGTAACTAGTACATGATACGAGTTTAAATGTGTTGCGTCAAGGGTAAAATAGTAATTTCATACACACATATATATGAGTAAGTTTGCGTTATACATATTGTACATGTCATGTTTTCTAACCTGTATACAATCTATTTAATTAAATTGGTTGTATAAGGCACAAACGCAGGCTATTTTAAGGGTGGCCACAAATAAAAAAAAAATTAATTTTCAATGTCAATTGTTTTTTTAGAAAATATTTTAGTTTTACCTACTCATTAAATAAAAATATTTTTTAACTCTCAAACTATTTGGGTTGGATCCCACTGATTTAAATTAAGATAATTGTAAGAAGATTTAAAGTGAAATTTTTCTCCAGATTTTTAGAGTGCAATTATTTTCATGTTTGCAAATTGGTTTAATTATAGTTATTTAAAAATAATAATTTTTATTGCATTAAAATAAGAAAATTATATATTAACATTAAAAATCGTATTATATTTTTAGTGTACATTTTATATTTTAACAGAGCTCACTGAAATTTTATTAAATATCGACATTCATTAGTTAATTGTTAACGATCATTCACCAGTTATCAACATCAATTATAAACTATCGTTTGATATGAATGGTTGAAGTAAACAGATCCATTAATTAATGAGATTAAACTTCATAAATAAATTAATTTTTTTAAAGAAAAAAACTAAATATTTATTTACTCCCCATGCAAAATTGTACTCCTCGGGGACAAAAGAAAAAAAAAATCAAGTAGTAACATATACTATATATATATATATATAAGCAGGGAAGTCTATTCTAGATGAGAGCCAAGTGTAAAAATCTGAAATTGTCACGTGTAATGAGACTTAGCACAATTATAAGAAGATAAACAATTGAAAGAAGATAAGACACAATTATAAGAAGATAAATTGTTTTACGTTTTCAGATAATATCTTTATTAAAATAATATTTATAAAAATGATTATCTCTAACATTAATATATTAATATAAATTTATTTTTTATTACAAAATAATTAATAAGTAATTTACACGCTTGAAAATGTGGATAAATAATATATTATTATTAAATAATAATATATAAATAATTTAAAAAATTTAAATTAGAACATAGAGATATGATAATTTTTTAAAAGCACGACATTTACACACTTAGAACATATTACACTAAATAAATAATATGTTAATATTTCAAGTAAATATATAATCATTTATAATAAATGATAAACATAAAATCAAATAAAAACTTAATTTCTTATTTTAATGACACAAAAAAAATTTTAAAAAAATACTTCATTTTTAATTAGTAATTAAAAAAAATCTTGGTTGATTAGCTTGGTGTATGGAGTAGTCTCGTATGTTAAGAATTAGGTTGCACAGACACGAGACACGAGATATGGTTGATTAGCTTGTGTATGGGATAGTCTCGTATTGTTAAAGAATTAGGTGCACAGACACGAGACCCACGAGATATAAGAAACGTACGAGAATACACAATTTTTTAAAAATGTACGATATTCACACGCTTAAGACACACTACACAGTAAGTAATACATTAATATTTTAAAATAAAAATATAATAATCATTTGTAATTAAATTATAACATAAATAAATAAAAAATTTAATTTCTTATTTCCAATGACATTAAAAATAAATTAAAAAAAATACTTCAATTTTTATTGTAATAAAAAAAATCTTGATTGATTAGCTTGGTATATGGCAGTAGTCTCAATTATATCAGGAGCTGGGTTGCATAGACAGAGGGCACAAGAGATTAAAAAAATTTACATAATATTGATAATTTTTAAACAAATAATAAGTCTCGTACCTGTTACCCCGTTTAAATTAATATTTTAAAATATTTAAAAATAATTATTTTTATAAAGAAAATTATATAATAATATATATATATATATATGATATATAATATATATATAATATATATATACCTTTTTAATTATATTAAAGCTGTTAATTAATTTAATATTGATTTATATTTTTTATTAATAATTTTTATAATTTACTTATTTTTTATTTTGAAAAATTAAAAAAAAAAATTATAATTTTTTTTGATGTTATATTTTTTATTAATAATTTTATAATTTACTTATTTTTTATTTTTGAAAAATAAAAAAAAATATATTTTAATGTAAATGAATTTGGGTATTTAAACAGGTAATTATAATCAGATTCGAGATGAATTTGATCATTAAAAGTGAATTTTTAAACGGATTTGTATATCTAAATTTTTAATCAGGTATTTAAACAAATTGAGATATTTACAATGTATTTAACGATTATTTCATTAATTATATTATAAAAAATTATTACGCTTAAAAAAGAAAGAAAGGCTAAAAGAAGCAAAGTGGGGGAGATGATATAAAGTAACCAAGGTTAGAAAGGGATAAGAGTCCGGAAAACACGGAAGACTAACCATGGTTGAGCAGAACATGGGTTCAGCTTGCTGATGGTAGCAGAGTTTGGCCTTCTGTGAGTTTGCCGTTCTTGTTCTTTATAAGCCGAATAGCCAGAACAAAGAGGCGTGGGAGGCAAAGCAGCCATTATTATATCTTCTCCAGAGCACATATTATTTATGACTTGTCCTTAGCTGAGCCCATCAAAGGCATAGATACCATTTTTGTTAGATAATCCCATGAATCTATTTCTAAGCTCTTGTTCTTGAGTCTTGTACACCTATATATAATTTCTTTGTCAAAGCTCCTTTATAGTGTAAGGCTCTATCACTTGCAACTCCATTTTATAATTTTTTTTTTTCTTATCCCTTTTCCCTTCTCCTTTCTGGGTTTCTTTGAAATGTTAGAATTATGTACTTTTGTACCATTGATATGAATTTATGAGAAATGCTAGATCTTATTTCATTCTTTGATGCATTATCTTAATCGGTTTCATTTTGGTTCATTGAATTCATTTGGAATTGTGTGATTTGAGCTTGTTTTTCTTTCTGTTTCTAGCTATTCACCTTTTCCTTTTAATGTTTTTGATCTTCGATTTTAGAGCCAGGCTAGATCTTCTTAATATAAAATTGTACCCTTTCTTCTTCCTTCATTGATCAGCAAGCGCTTCTCTTTGTATAGAATTTGGAGAGTTTTAGGATTGGGTTGTCAATATTAAATCGGATGGCACAAAATGCTTTGCTTTCTTTTTATATTTTTCATCTTATAATTTTGTCTGTTTTCATTTGTTGGATTAAGGATTTTGATACCTCAAAAACTAGAGTTTAACCCAATTTATTTACAGGAATGGCTTATTTAAGCGATTTTGTCACCATTTGCCGCTTCCTAAATTCTATATTGTCTCTTAACTCTATTAGTACTGTTTCATCAATGTTGAAAACAAACCCTTGTGTTTCATTAATCTCATTTCCCTATTTTGATTTTGGCTTTATGATGCAGGCCAGGTTTTTGGCTCCTTTAACAGGATTTAGCCTCATCTTGATCATATTCAAAAGCAATTAACCTCACAAGGTAATTGATCAATCAGTTTTTAATTTACTTTTTAATCATTTAGTTATGCAAATTATCTTATATGTATATATGTTTCTTACTACTGTAGCTAGTCACTATCCCTTATGGTGTTCTAACTCTCCTTTTAATGCATCTCAGATCACATATCAAGAAAAGAGGGAAAACATCTGGATCTCGCTTATTTGTCTCCTCTGTGATTGATAAAGAATTGACCCTTTTACTTCCAATTTGATCCGAAATATGGGTCTCTCAAATCTTCCAGCTCCATCTGAAGGAGTACTATGTGTGCTTTTGGTAAACACTGCCTTATCAATCTCCCTCTTCAAAGGGTTGGTCAGGACGATTCTTCACATTGTTGGCATCCGTTTATCATGGTCCTCATCATCCTCCTCATCAACCCCATCCTTGGATTACACAGAAGAGCCCAGTGAATCATTTGAATTTCGTTTGCCTCCACCACAGACTTACATTCAGGAGTTCCGGAGCAGGACTCCAACAACGCGATTTGATGCAGTTTGTAGTTGTAAAATACCCGAACACGACTGCTCAGTTTGCTTGACTAGATTCGAACCAGAATCAGAGATAAACTATTTGTCCTGTGGCCATCTTTTTCATAAGGTGTGCTTGGAGAAATGGTTGGATTATTGGAACGTTACATGTCCTCTTTGCCGGACTCCTGTGATGCCTGAAGAGGAGACATTTTCCTTTTGGTGAAAGCATATACCAAGAGTCTGCTAGTCTCAGGAAAATGTTGGTATATAGCATGTAGTTAACAGGTACTTTTACTCGACTATGTGAGCCATGCCACTGTGTTGTATACTTGTGTTTTGGGCGAGATCAAGGTGTTGAGAGGGATCAAAATTTTATTGTACATATTGCAAAGTTTATGATGTTTAATGCAACTATCCTACTTTGGTCTCAAATTGCTTTTTCCATGTTTCTGTCTAATTTCGAATGAGTATAGTGAGTGTGTGAACTGGCTTAGCTGTTACTGCTGGGTGAGGTTTATTTTGAGACTTGCAGCCCTTGAACAGGCTTCAAGAATAAACAGGAGAGGAAATAAAAAGAGACATCATTAGTTTCTTTTTTGGTTTTAACCATCCGATATCCGAGATCCACTGGCCCGATTATTCAGTGGGTCTACCGATGTTTAAAGAGATTTCATATCCATGTTCGAGACCTTTGGTTAAGGTGATATGTGACATATTTGAGAAAATCTCATTGCTATTAGTATTTAGGAGATCCACTTGTGGAAACCTATTAATTCTTTTGTTGAGAATTGCTTAAGTCTTTATGAAGCACCGCTACTTTAATCTTCAGGTTGTGTCGATGTCGTATTATGTTTCATGTGTCTTCTGAAACAATATTGAGACAAACATGTATGCTCCATAATCATGTCCAAGTGTTTCGCTTCTGTGTTTGTGCCTCACTGGGGGATGGGGGGAGTAGTGAAAAATAATCTAGAGGCCTCGGACCTCCATAAACTATACTATAGCCCTAGACTGAGCACAACAGAGGAAATGAATACATTCCAAATAGATTGAGATTAAAGTTTAGGTTGTGTTCGGTAAAAATTTTTTAAGTAGCTTTTAATATTTTGACATTATTTTTTATATTGTTATGTGTAGTAAAAGGTTAAAAAAAGTTAACCTTAGCCTTTAGATTTTTATGAAAACTATTACAAAAAGTACTAGATACTCAAACAGTTAAACACTAACAGGTAAACACTAACAGGTAGCTAATTTTGCTAAAACAACCCTTAGTTGGATAGTGTTAAATAAGCAATTCCTTAGAAGGTTGAGAGTAATGGAGGTGATTTCATGACCTGGTCTTTTCTAGTACTGTAACTTGGAAGGACAAGGTAATGTAATGGTTGAGCAAAAGGCAAATCTGGATGGCTTCTCCTTTGCAAGATTTTCCAAAGAATGGCATGACCTGAAAATGTTGAAACTGCCATAAATTCATTTATTTGAGAAAACTCCTTACGAAGATTTAGACAAAAAGGATGAATATGACAATGATCCTTTTTGAGAGTGATGTTTTTATATATATATATATATTCAGAAATGCAGAAATGCTGGAAAAATCTGAATTGAGTTTCAAAATTGGCAGACCCACTTTTTCTTGATATTGTATTAAATAATTTTCAGCTTTGTAGCCTAAAGAATAAAAGAAACGAGAGAATGTAGATAATAATAATTATAATAATAATATTATTATTATTATTATTATTAGTATTTATTAATTCTGTTCTAAAGATCATTGCATTGTAACCCATTGTGCTGACTCCGTTTTATACACATTACAAAATAATTGAGTAGCAATTAGCGATTTTTTTTTTTTCGTCTATGAAGAAGACTTGAGATCGGGTACGAAAAGCTGTTATCGAATAAAGCTAAAAAAAAAAGATTTTATGGATGTTGATAAACCTGTTATCATCTTAAAGTAAATATATTTATGTTATTACTAACAAATATCTTGATAAACTTGTCACCCTAAATTACAACAGTTTATTATTTTTATATGTTTTTTTTTTTCATATTTAATAAATATGGAATGTTTTTCTAAATATCTTTATTTTTTTCTGATATTTTTAAACTAGTCGTTGATGTTTGCAAATCAAATAATAGAGATTGAGTTCTTTAGTACATATTTTTCAAAAGAAATATTTTCTAAAATAAATAATTTTGAAAAATAAATTGAGCCTTGCAGTTTGAGTAAGCTTGAGTTTGAATCTATCCCCAAATAATACATATATACATATAGAGGGTGTGATGCTTAAGGGCATGTTGGACAATAACGCTCAGAGTAACTTTTAATATTTTGAACTAGTCAAAATACTGTATCTCTCTGGCTTATTGATCTAACGTTTAGCGTTTCATTCTTTTGCTAAGATTTTTTTATTATCTTTAATTAATATAAAATCATTCTATTATCACATTGCGTATTTTATTATCTTTATGTTTGGCTTGTTTACAATTGATAGCAAAAGAAAAAAAAGCACTCATTCGTATATTTGTATTTAAACTCAAAAAAAAAAAAAAATGTTGATCCCCTAAAATATTAAAAATTTCCAATTTAATTTATAAAATAGTGAACTTTTCAATTTTTGCTCCCTTAAAATTTAGGATGATCATGGATCGAATTCGGATCAGATTATGCAAAATCCATATCTGATCCGCAAAAATATTCATATGTCCATATTCGCTCCACTCGGATTGGATTGGATCAGATGTCAAAGTGGATCGGATATTATCCGTTTTTATTATGTTTAAAGGAAAAATAAAAACAAAAAAATTATTTAATCAAAATTCATATTATTTATTGTGCTTGAAAATACACAAATTCTTAACAATAATTGAAATATTGTATACTATGACAATTGGAAGAGACTTTAAGAATTATTAAGCGCAAAAAAAATCATGCTAGTGATCATAATATTTGACTTATATTCTTTTGTTTGAATCATAGATTAAAAAATTGAAAAATTGTGAAAGAGTTGGAGATAATGATTTAAAATATATATAAATAGAAAAAAAAGAAGGAAGAAGCATAGAGGCAACTGCACATTTGGAATTATAATCAATAATTTTAGAAATACAACAAAAATTAAAATTACCTTTCGCGGATCGAATTATGCTATACCCATATCCGCATGGATTTTATTTTAAAAATCCATATTCGATCCACCACTATTTGGATCGAATTTTATTTGCTCCATTCGGATTGGATCAAAGTGGATATCCAACGGATCAGATCATTTGATCATCCCTACTTAAAATTTGAAAATTTAGGTTTAGCGAAATCCGTTTTATATAATGAATTTAATTGAAACTCTAGCTTAATGTTTCAATGTTCTTTTTGTCATTTTAAATTTATTGGCAATCAAATAACTGTTTTATCGAATATTTTTGCTTTCAACTACTATTTAAACAGCTAACAGCTAATATCTTCAGTTAACAGCTACTAAAACAACTAACATATATTAAAATAACTAACGGCTATTAGAATAGATAGTATTACTGAACAAGCTCTAAGTATGATGAAGAGTGTAATGCCTAAGTGGACATTTTTCTTTAAGTGTTAGTGTTAAGAAGTACAAATTATAGAACAACTTATAACATCTCAAATGCTAATGTTGATGGCTCTTATTTAATTGCTACATCAAAAAAATGGAAAGATCTTTTAAAAAATGATCTCGAATGGTAATGTCCATTTGGTATGTTAAGATGAGTTGTCAAAAAAATAAATAGATGTTGTCTAACACACTTTTTGATTGATTGCATATTGAATTGTCGGCCCGGAAAAGGAAAGAAAAAAAAAGAGGATGGAAGAGAATTTAAAATTAGTGCATTGGAGAGAAATTTTTTAAAATTTAATGTCAATAAATAGATATTCAGTCACATCAAGATTGACGCCTTCTATACCAAATGACACATTAGTCGCAATCTACATTAGCATTGAAGATGTTCTTACACTGTTTCACCAAAAAAAGACAATTGCATTATGATGAACTACATTTCATTTAGGCCATTCAACAATAACTTTTAAAGTGGGATTCAAACCTTTTAATTAGAATCAAAATACTATTTCTATTAATTGTATTGGTTCCTAATGTAAATTTTTATAGTAATATTAAAAGTTAAGGATGTATGTCATGACATATTACTCCTCAAAGTTTAACATTTGACAACAGTTAATTAAATTTTTTTATTTTAGTTTACATTTAATAAATAATCAAATAGTTATTTTTATCGAACATTTTATTTTAAAATCACTATATAATATAAATAACTAACTGCTACCTGCTATTATTTAATAACTAACATTTCTATTTGCTAGAATAGCTAACATTATGGAACAATACATATTTTTAATACATTAGTTATTAGTTTTTTTTTTTTTGTAGGGAAATTACGTTAGTGATTAGTTGGTCAGAAAGGCAAAAAGCTCTCTTATATTATAAAAAAAAAAAAAAAAAAAAAGCTAACATTATGTAAACAATACATATTTTTAATACATTAGTTATTAGTTTTTTTTTTTTTTGTTAGGGAAATTACGTTAGTGATTAGTTGGTCAGAAAGTGCAAAAAGCTATCTCTTTATATTATAAAAAAAAAAAAAAAAAGAAAAAGACAATTCTCCAACTGTGATTTTGAGGTGAAAAAATTTTCAAAAACTTCATTCTTTCAAAGAAATGAAACAAAAAAAAAAATCCTTTATCACGGGAGAAAGAAAGATTTATGCACCTTCCAATTGTCTTTTCTATAGAGGGATGTCAGACGCCATGTGAGAATCTTATATTATAAAAAAAAAAAAAAAAGAAAAAGACAATTCTCCACTGTGATTTTGAGGTGAAAATTTCAAACTTTCATTCTTTCAAAGAAATGAAAAAGAAAAAAAAATCCTTATCACGGGAGAAAGAAAAGATTATGCACTCCAAATTGTCTTTTCTATAGAGGATGTCAGACGCCATGTGAGAGGGCATTTTACTTTTTTTTTTTTTCCTTATCATTATGGTTTAAATATAGGAGATTTGCTGTTAGATAAATGCAGATTGGACATGTGAGAAAAACTTTTAAGTTCAGTCATCATTACACACCTGTAGAAAAGAGCGAAGAATTTTAACTGTAACTAAACTCCAAAATTGCTAATAGAGTCCAGACACTGGTGGTTTACACCTAAAAAAAATATCATGTATCAAATTAGTAAAAATTGCAATTCAAATAATATTTTAAAAGTAAAGATTTCTAAAAGACATGTACATCAAATTTTCTATGAAATTATTTAAATAAATATGTTAAGAAAATACTAAAAACACTTAAAAATCTATTCGTTATTACATATATAAGAAATTAAATCAAATTTTTGTTCCAAACCATTTTAGCATAAAAATAAGAAATATACATATAGAAAATTGAAATTTTTATTCTCAAAAAAAAAAATTGAAAATTTTTATTTAGAGATGATATTGGCAAAAGATAATAATATTTTGAGTAAAAACTGGCATTTTTCAAATAAAATAACAAAATAAACATTTTATAATATTTTTTAAATTTCATTACTTCGGAAACTGACTACATTTGAAACTCATATAAGAGTTTAAAACACCAAACATAAATCATAATTTTTGCTGAATTGATAATATAGTTAGAAAGCTAGTTTAATGGATTTATTCCTTCCTTCTCTATTTAAAAAAGCTAGTTTAATGGATTTTGTTAATGAAAATAGAAGTAGCAAAGTGTTAATGAAAATAAAAGAGAAAAAATAAATTAAAAATTAACTATTTAATTTAAAATTTTTAAAAAAAATCTCAACTCGCAGTGTTATTTCGGCCCATTGAATTTCTATGAATCGAAAAAAAACTCACATTCTTAATAAAGTGAAAAACTATGAGGCTAAATGAACCCAAAATGTTAAGTTTGGTCTTTTTAATCGTTTTAAATAAACGAAATGATAATAGGATGATGATAAGGGGTTATTCTATTTGGATCATGAGGAAAAAATGCTTCAAAAATATTAGTGATCGATCAAACCTTATAAATTTACCATTGTACTTTACATAAAAAGTTGTACTTTATATAAAAAGTTTTGTGGCATTTTTTAACTTCACTAGGGAATTATTATTCTCTTAAAATTATAAATTTTAGTAATATTACATACTTTTTCATATTAATAATAATAATTTTTTTGTATTTTTGATTTTTACATGTAAAATATCGATTCATTGTCACGGTATAACAACTTTTAGAATAATAATTTCATATTTCTCGACTATTTAATAAATATTTGATTGATCTAAATTTAAAAATTAGAAGAGTGTCTAATACAAAATTTATGCATGATACAAAATTTTCAATACATAATATGTAATACATTTTAAAATTATAAAAACCTAAAATTCTAATATAATATATATTGTTTTAGAAGCCAAATAGATAAGAATAGATAAATTCGTTTTTCTTGGGTATATACCACATATATCCGTAATCGATTGAATACTCGATCTATTATTTGAAGGATCCGATGAGCACTTTTCACTCAAATCAAACTTTCTCGGCAGAATAGACAAATTCTTTGACGTGAAAGACTCGAGTTTGAGGTTTTCCAACTTTATATAAACAGAAAAAATATTTAAAAGGAAAATTAGGTTAAACTTGTGAGAATCTTTAAATTTTTTTAAAAAAAAAGAAAAATTCAGGACACCCGTGTTTAGAATTGGGTACACGTGCGACACAAGGCGCCAAGCCAAAAACGCCATCCTAATTTTATCCCTCCCCTCCCTCTTCTCACACTCTCGAAGCACAAAACCCCCTTCTTCTTCTTCCTCTTCTTCCTCTTTGTCAGTCTATCTATAACCGTACAATAACAGACTCCTTCGCTCATTTCTCATTGACTCACTGCCATTCCTTAACAATCTCTTTGACCTCGTTTTAACTTAAATGACAAAATTACCCATATCTTGCCTCATTATTTACCACCTCTGGACAATCTCCCATGGCTTCTCTGCTTCACTATCCTCACACCACTGAATTATACCATACCAAGACGTTGATGGACGTCATCGATGCTCGGCCTAGGCCTGGGCCTCACTTCCACTCTCTCACTCAGCGTTCTTCTTCTACCTCTTGCTTTCTTGGCCCGGACAGGTTCTTATCGCCGTAAGTTCTTAATATTCTTTGTATTGTAGGTCTCTATGTTAGTTTTTCTCTTTGATTTTCATTTTGTTACTCCTTTTTTCATGTAATTCAAAAAGAAAGTTAATGGTGTTGCGTACAAGCCATGTTTTAGTTAATTCTCAAATTACAATGCCTAAAATGTTATTCTGTTGTGGTTCATGATTGTAAAGATTGTTCAATAGTTTTACTGCTATCTCTCTCTCCATAAAAGTTACCATTTTCTCTGAAATAATTTTCTTCCTACTTTGAAACAGGTATATATGTCGTCATATGCCTCTTGGGAATATATTCAGATTTGCGCTTTCTTTAGGGAATTTTAGCTCTATCGCTAGTCCTGTAATGTCTATGAAGAAAGGTATTTCATGTGGCCTGTTCAAATATTTGTGATTATATTATGAATGCCTATGCAGTTTTTAGTTATAAATGTAGCTATGTTTGTCATTGTGTAGATATTAAAATATATCTTTATATCTTTGATGTTTCCTTCTTCTTTGCATTTGCTTTTGGAAGAGAAGAGGAGCGGTGGTGGTAGGTTAGGATCTTTATTTAGTTAACTCATTTTTTTCCCATTATATTCCTTTAAACCTTATAGTTATTAATTGTCAAATCGAGAATCAGAATTCTTATTTTTAAAAATCGAGAATGGATAATAGAATAGTATAGTAAGATTCAGGATAATTTTTCAAAATTAATTAAAAATAAGCATACACATTTATGGTTACATTTCCCTTTTAATGTTATCAAAAATGCTACAAATTTAATTGCAAATAATGTATTTATATAAATTTCAATTCAGAGAACCTAATTACTGGTGTAGTTTCCAAATTTAAAATAATAGCATATCCTCATTCACATTCCCTGTTTGATTTACCTTAAAAAAATGAGTTGAACTCATCGACAATACTTTTTCTATTTACAAACTCAATCAACTTCATTTCAATTGGTCAATTCTTTCTAGGAAAATGAATAAATGGAGAAGTAATGTGAACATCTTGGAAAGAAGAATGCTTTTAATTTTTCTCTCCAATATTGAAGTCCCCTTAACATTAAAATCATTGGCCTGTTATATGATTTCTACTTGAAAGAGAAAGCATTTCCCTAATATATTATTCTCTTTACTTCTAATGGACGGGGATAATTTTCTTTATAGGTTGTTGTTTGGCATAATCCGTTCAGGAAGTACTTTCCTATAGTTTATGATGGTCTACCACATTCTGATTTCTCAGGCCATTCAAATATTACTTCTAGAGGATTATGCGATGTAATTTGGACTGTGGAAGCTGCTTTGGCAGATGGTCAGTTCCTCTATGTTACTGGGGATCCTAATTCATTAGGTGGCTGGAAGCCAGAAATGGCTCTCCAAATGTGTCCCACTGAGCATGCGAACTTGTGGAAAATTGAAGTCAAGGTAATTTTATACAGCTGTGCTGATCATAAAATTTAGAAAGTATATGGTATCTTATGAAGCATCAAATTTGTTTTGGAAACTAAAAATTTCATTTAAAGATTTGAGTATTTTGAGTATTTTTTATTAGATATATTCAGGTTCAAGTTTCTGATTAAATTACGATACGGATGCATCATAATGATAAAAGTATCCATGCTGCAGTAAAATGCAAGGCACTGTTAAGTTCAGTAATTTTCTCATTGTTCTGGTTGCTGCAATATGTGGTTACTCCCTCCTTTCTCTTTTTCATGGTCGGTGCTGTGAGATTCACTCTTTCCTCTATCACATGCACACTGCTAATATTGGGTAAAGGGATGGCGCTTTATTACATGGCTGGTTGCTCTTACTGATAGTGTATTCTTATCAATGACTGGTTTTCTGTTATAAGAGTTGAGTTTATGCTGATTACCTTAGGTCTATGAATACTTGTCTTTTTCTCTCTGAATATTGTTAACTAAGTGAACCATGAAGCTTTTTGCACTTGGGAAAAATAGCATATGATCCATCAATCTACGTTTTGAAATATGTTTCAGAGTGATTTAGTCGACCAATAACTCTTATTGCTAACAATGAGTATCTGGCAGACATTCTTACCATTTAACATGTTTTTTGTATGATATACTGGTCAACTCCTAATTATCTATTGACTGTAAATTAACACTATCACGTTTTCCTGCTTTCCAGATGCATTCAGGTGTCAACTTTAAGTATAATTATTTTATCAAAGAAGAATCACGGCCTTCAAGTGACATCATTTGGAGACCTGGACCTGAATTTTCTTTATCAGTGCCTTTGACCATCAAAGATAGAAAAATCATGGTAAGAGATTCATGGTTGAAGTTTAATACTGAAAGACCTCCACCACATTTGTGGGGCTCATGGATCGGGGAGAAATATCCACCAGAGCAGCCTTTAGTTTCTGCTCAAGCCAGAGGTAACATCTTCTTCTTAGCAGCCTTTTTTATAAAATTTCTTTCCTTAAATTGTTTCTGAACACTCAAATGCTTCCAGTGCTTTGACAGATGAACATGAGACTGTGAATCATCATGCCATTGATTACGAAGGATCAAAGACATTCCTGAATGGTACCAAAGTTGAGGAAAAATTGTACTTAAATAAGCAAACAAATATGGCTAGAAATGGAGGTCTTAACTCTAATTTCTCTGAAAGAGACCAACCTGTTGAGGAACCCTGGTTACTCCAATTATCCTGTGTCCTTGTCTCAAAAGATGAGATCATGCTTGATGTGCCCAAAGATGATGCAATAAAGTTCGATGTTAGCAGTCAGCATCTCCAAGATGAAGATAAGTTGTCTGCAGATGGGAATAATCTAATGTTGAAGGATGATTCTGTTTCTACTATCATATTGATTAATTCTTCAATTTGTACCATGCAAAGGATTGCTATATTGGAAGATGGGAAATTGGTAGAATTACTATTGGAACCTGTTAAAACAAATGTGCAGTGTGATAGTGTATATCTGGGGGTGGTTACAAAATTTGCCCCCCATATGGGTGGTGCATTTGTAAATATTGGGCATTCAAGACCTTCTCTTATGGACATAAGGCATAGCAGGGAACCATTCATATTCCCCCCATTTCGACAGACGACAAAGAAACGAAAAGTCAATGGTTCTGGGGTGGAAGGCCCTGAAGAGCAACCTGCTGCTGATGAACATGCATTACGTGATGTTGAAGGTATTTATGATTTAGTAGAATTCATCTCCCAGGAAGATTTGGTGCCATTTACTCATCATGACCAGGAGGAGCATGAAGTTGATGAAGATTTTGATAGTTCAGAAGTCAAGGGAAATATTAATGGTAGTATAGTTCATTATGGTGAATTGGACACTATTGATTCTCCAATGTCTCATCCACAAGATATGAAGGATTCTGAGGCTGATGAAAGCAAATGGGCCCCAGTTCGTAAAGGCACCAAGATTATTGTACAAGTTGTCAAGGAAGGATTGGGTACAAAAGGTCCTACTTTGACTGCTTACCCAAAATTGAGAGGCAGATTCTGGGTATGCTATGCCACATTCATGCGTCTGCTGTGAAATTTAATGTGTCACTTCTTATGTTTTTTTTCCCTCCAAATCTGTCATATTTTAAACCAGCTATAGTTTTTCTCTGAAGTACTTTCTATGGCTTGCAGATACTAAGTACTCGATGTGATAGAATTGGAGTTTCAAAGAAAATTTCTGGTGTTGAGAGAACGCGGCTTAGAGTTATTGCCAAAACCTTGCAACCTCCTGGTTTTGGTCTCACTGTAAGGACTGTTGCTGCTGGTCATTCTTTGGAGGAATTGCAGAGGGACTTGGAAGGTTTGCTTTCAACTTGGAAAAATATAATGGAACATGCAAAATCTGCTGCTCTTGCTGCAGATGAAGGTGTAGAAGGGGCTATTCCTGTTATATTACATAGGGCAATGGGTCAAACGCTCTCAGTTGTTCAGGATTACTTTAGCGAGAAGGTAATTTTCCCGTTTATCTTAATTCCACTGCTTGCTTTCTTCTACCTGTTGATGTTTTATCAATTATCATGCATCAAAATCTCTCACAATATGTAACAAAATTACTTTTACATGTTCTGATTTCATTCTTTGTTGTAATTTTTTTTCAGGTTAAGAAAATGGTGGTTGACTCCCCAAGGACGTATCATGAGGTATGCTATCTGCTGTGAATCAAACAAGATATTTTTACTGATTAATATCCATGAATATGTGAGCAGGGATGTTGGTTGTGCACCTGTATGTATGACAGTGTGAGCATGCAGATGTTTCTATGCAATTGTTTTCTGAAATGAGGATGAGTTGTGGAAGTGGGTCAATTCTTTCTCTGGCATTAAACATAATCATGTCTAGGCAGATGACTTTAAGTACATGTCCTATGGAAATGTTGGCAAAAATATATTCAACGTGTACGAATTCCAAACGGATTTGTGCTTATTGTTAACTGAATAAAAGAACTTAACTTTTGTGCTTATACATAATAAATAGTCTTTTTTATTTATATTCATGTTTATACCATTTCTTTATTAAGCGCTAAGTCTATATGTAGGAAAGCTTTGACAATATTGGTAAGATTGGTAAAAACAAGCCTAGTTATTGACGAACTTCTTACATATTCGATGGAATAGTGGTTAAGCAGCTTGCTTAATTGCAAATGTATATTAAGAATTTGCTTTTGTTTCTATTATCTTAATTCTCTCTGAGCGCATATGTCATTTTTGTTGCCATAAGCATACAAAGGAACTAACTTTTTCTCCCTTTTGTTTTTCTCAATCATTTCCTTTTCAGGTTACGAACTACCTTCAAGAAATTGCTCCTGATCTTTGTGACCGAGTGGAACTGTATGATAAAAGAATTCCGCTTTTTGATGAATTCAAAATTGAAGAAGAGATAAATAATATCCTTAGCAAAAGGTGAGGATTCATTGGTGTCACTTGTTTTGGCACAAGTCACTTAAATGATTGGTGCATTTCATATTACTTGCGTTCTTATCTCTAGATGACCTAAGTTTCATAAATTCAATGATCATGATGATGGGGACTCCAAGTGCAAATCAAAGTATTATTGTGGCATGTTACAGGAAACTACCTTTCTCATGCCATTGAATGCCACTGAATTTTGATATACTAACTCTAAATAAACAATGTCAATGGGGTAATTTCTGTACCAGGTTTACATTCTTCCTTATGCACCTCTCATGATTCATGAGGTCCTGAAAATTGAAAATGTTTTGGTAGTTATTTTCATTCAGTCTATTGACTGTCATTCAAATAACGAGTTCCCCTCGAGAACCTGCAATGTAGTAGTGAGAAATTTTGTGTTTGTAATTTTTACATATTATTTCAAGGTTGACTATGTTCAGTGAGCTCAATGCTACCTTTTTGTTTAATGTTAATTATATTTCTTTCCTTGCAGGGTTCCAATCCCTAAGGGAGGTTCTTTGGTGATTGAACAAACAGAGGCACTAGTCTCCATTGATGTGAATGGAGGGCATGTAATGTTTGGTCAGGGAACGTCACAAGAAAAAGCTATTCTGGATGTCAATCTTGCGGCTGCAAAGCAAGTATGTTCACTATGAACTTGCACATCACTTTGAATGAACAGGCTGTTTAGTTGGTGATGGGCTATTTCTTTATTTGCTATGCTTACTTGTGCCTCAAAAATTAGGTCATGGATGTTCAAGTTCTTATTTTTCTGGTTATAGCCAGACTGTATAGAAGTGCAAGAATGAGGAGTCTGTTAATACTGTTGTTATTTGCTTCTGTTCCTTTGAAATAATCTTCCCCTTGATTGGCAAGTGCTGTAACTGTAGTGTATGCAAAAAGCAGTTTCTGATCTTTGACTATCCCCTTAGAGAATCATGAGTTTCCTTCTAGAAAATAGCCTTTTGACCTAGTCATGTATGAAACTAGACATCATCAATGGCATTGTATAATCCTGTAGACTACAAACAATGAGGATACTAAGACTTTTGGACAAGCTTGTGAGTTTGTGACATTCGAACATTTGAAATTAGTGGCAAATTATGAAATTTTTGAAAATAGGCGAATTCCAGTGTTTTGTACATGGAAAACATACTCATATCACATACTCACAGCAGTGTTCATGGCTAACTTGTAATAAACTGTAACTGGAGCATTCTGATTATGCTTTTGAACCTACTAAAGTTTTCAGTGCTACATTTTAATGTGTTTCAGATTGCAAGGGAGTTACGACTCAGAGACATTGGTGGTATCATTGTCGTGGACTTTATAGATATGGCAGATGACTGTAAGTTAAAAGCTCTTCTCTCTCTTCTCTGCATACACATAGACACACTAGTATATGCATGTGGATCTGTTTGCCTTCATATTTAATATCTTAGGACCCTGGAAAATATCAAGTTCGTCTGCAATATCATTCTGTGAATTGTCTTAAGTTGGCAGCTTGAGATTGGTTTCAAACTTTTTCAGCCTAGTATTATGCTGTATCATCCAAAAAAAATTTTATTTATTTTTTCCATGAGTACATGAACTATTCTTGCTGGATGGAAACTGGCAGTGATGGCTGAAGAGAAGCTGGTTGTTTTAGTTCTTCCGCTACAGTAACTATTTTCTGTGATATAGAAACCCTATTTATTGCATATGTGCTTGTAAACTGGGTTGGATGGACACATTAAAGCTAAGGAATTCATGGAAGTTACCAACTTTACTTGAATAGCTTAAGTTGCTTGTCCTAAGATAGGTTGACAGCTGAGTGCATAGGAATGAGTTTTTAGTGAGTCTATTCCCCTTCACACTGCATACTTTGGGATCATAGGTTCCTATTCCAAAAAGTTTAATAGATATCGTGAATTGGTCCAAAGCATGCTTCAAATCAAGGGAGAATAAGAATTGGATTTTGAGTTGATCTTAGGAACAGGTTGAGCAGATGACTTAAAATAGGGAGAACATACTAATTAAAGGCGCAAGGTGCACTAAGGTGCCAATGTCTACTGAAGCCTAGGCACTAGCCTTTGGTTGAACCTGCATGAGGTGAAGCAGAAAAGGAAAAATAAAATAGAATAAAATAAACAAACATAAATGCGAAAATTATATTTTAAGATATCAGATTAAAAAAAGAAAAGTCAAAATGGAAAAAAGAAACACATGAATCAGAAAAAAAATCTGTGGCATAACAACTTATGTTTTATGGCATTGGAGTTTGGAGTTCAGAAAGAAGGGAGTAGACCATGGGAAAAAAAAAAAAAAAAAAAAGAGAATAAGAAATTGGAATTTTGACGTTGGATCTTAGGGAACAAGGTTGAGCAGATGGGACTTTAAATAGGGAGAACATACTAATTAAAGGCGCAAGGTTGCACTAAGGTGCCAATGCTTACTGAAAGGCCTAGGGCACTAGCCTTTGGATTTGAAACCTGATGAGGTGAGCAGAGAAAAGGAAAAATAAAATAGAATAAAAATAACCACAAATGCGAAAATTATATTTTAAGATATCAGATTAAAAAAAAGAAAAGATCAAAATGGAAAAAGAACACCAATTGAATTCAGAAAAAAAAAATCCACTGTGGCATAAATCAACTTATGTTTTATGGGCATTCTGGACCGAGTTTGGAGTTTCAGAAAGAGGGAGTAGGGACCATGGAAAAAAAAAAAAAAGGAAAAAAAAAAAAAAAAAAAAGAAGAAACTTGAAAGCAAATAGAGAAATAGACATTGAGAGACACACACTTGAATGGCTGCAAGCTGGTGGCTGGATTGCTGGAGGTATGATGCAGGGGAAGATTAGGGTAATTAATTCTCAACGATTATGCTAAAATAGGGTGATTGGGTTTGGAACAAAATAACATAATTGGTTCAAAGAAACCCTTAGAATTAAAATTCTATATTAATAGAGAAAAATACCATACGTGAACTGATTGTTGTTGTCCTATTTATATAAGTTAAGACAAATCCTAAGTTTATATTATCAATTATTCCTAATTAGTTAATACTCTGTTAAATAGGACTTCTAAATAAAGAAGGAAACCTGAATATTCCTAGTTAATTAACATACCATATCGGAATCCTAAAAAAAAAAAAAAAAAAAAAAAAAAAAAAAAAAAAAAAAAAAAAAAAAGAAAAGAAAACTAAAAAACTTATAATTTTAACTTGGATGCTCCTGCATCATTTTCCTCAGGTTTGAAAAGAACTCAGCTCTGACAAGAAAAGTTTAGATATATCAGTCATAAGAAGGATCAATTCATGTAAACTTCTCCTCAAAGTACCATGTGCTTAGGGCTATTGCAAGAGCAGACAACATTGCAAGCCATTCAAATAATCTATCCTTTTTCGGAGCAAGTCTGGTTCAACACAAAGACTTTACCATGTTTGCAGTAGCATTTTGCTTGAAGATGTAGTTCAACTTCATGGATACTTGCATAAAAAAATCTGCTTTTGGCAATTTTATACTATCAATATCCACGAGCAAATACTTTTCTAAAGAACAATGATCTTCCTTTGTTTTTTCACCCTTAACATTCCTTCCTTCTTGTTCTTCTACTTGTGGGGTAGTAAGAACATGTTGAATAACAATAATTTCTTCTTGGATAACTACGATATCAATTTCTTGCTCTTCTTTATCATAATACTCATCATAGATTGGTTCCCTGAGATTCTTGTTATTGTCACTGTTTTGAGCATTAAAACAAAAAACTTCTTTCTCCTTTCTCTCTTCTTAGGGTCATCAACGTCTATCAATGTTGTTCTTCCCCAATTGCTACTTTTTATGATCTATTTAAATAGTAAATTTTTATAAATTTCAGAAATTTGTTGAACTTGTAAATTAAGATCAAGAGCTCTCACCAAGCTCTCTTCTAATCTACAATATGCGGATTGTTCACGAATCACAGGATTATGAAACAGGTTGATCTACTCCTCAATAGACATGTTATTTTAAGTCAAAAATTGGAACTTTTCAAACAATTCCATCATAAAATCATCGGGTAAAAATTGCTTCCACAGCTTAGTTTTCATGTGCTCCCAAGTGCTGATTTTGAGCTCCCTTGTTGCACATGTTGCTCCTCAACTCTCTTCCACCATTGAAGTGTAGTGCCCTTCAATTTAAGCTTTACAAATAGCTCCTTTCAATTTTCAGCCATGGATTTCCATTCAAAGTAATTCTCTTGACTAGCTTCCCAATCTAAGTAATCCTTCACATATATTTTCCATGCTGCTTCAATCTCCACCCTTCCATTATTCAAATCAAGACTCAACTCTCTTCCACCATTGAAGTGTAGTGCCCTTCAATTTAAGCTTTACAAATAGCTCCTTTCAATTTTCAGCCATGGATTTCCATTCAAAGTAATTCTCTTGACTAGCTTCCCAATCTAAGTAATCCTTCACATATATTTTCCATGCTGCTTCAATCTCCACCCTTCCATTATTCAAATCAAGAGTATGTAGTAACCGCCCTTCCAATCCACCAGAGGAGAAGCACATTGCTTGCTATGATCATTGTTTGAAAAAAGTTCACCAGACATAATGGACTGGGTCCTTGGGTAGGGATCTAGTGATTGAAGTGAGTTGTTGTAAGACATTGAGGTAGTAGCATAGCGGTTGAGTGCCTGTCTCGTAGTGTATAGGGTCAGGAACTCAAACACTAACAGCCCCTTTTCCCTTTTGAGAATTTTCAATGTACCAAAGAAAAAAAATCAGTTGTTGTAGGTCTGAATTTAGTAGAGACAATTTTGCTCTTTCCTGTGATTGATCATCAGTTCCTTCAAGAATTGAATTGTTCAGATGAATGTTGCTGTTGAATAGTTTCAATATGGTCTTATTTTTCATTTCTTTGCTGCCATATTTTCAGCAAATAAGAGATTGGTTTATGAAGAAATGAAAACGGCTGTTGAGAAAGATCGATCAACAGTGAAGGTATCCGAATTGTCAAAGCATGGACTAATGGAAATAACTAGAAAGAGGGTATGTCGCCTTGTGGTGGTTATCTTCTCTCTGTTTCTAGTATTGCTTCTTTTTTTTTCCAAGAGAGATTATAATTGCTCAATTGAACCTTTTCTCATCTATTGCGACTGACTAGAAAGACTCAAAATTAAGGAGAAAATGATGTGTTAAGAACTCAAAAGGAATTTATATTCAAAGGAACGTGGAAATTACCAAAACAAGATTGCCAAATGCATTTTAATTCAGTAGCAATAATGTTTGGCTTATTGCTATTTCTGGTTCAACTGATAGTAACTATTATATTAAATAATGATGCAATGTTGAACAGGTTCGACCTAGTGTGACTTTTATGATTAGTGAACCTTGCACTTGCTGTCATGCTACTGGGAGAGTGGAAGCTCTAGAGACCTCCTTCTCGAAGATTGAACAAGAAGTTTGTCGATTGCTTGTAAGTAGAGTTTATAGTATCAAATCATACTTTTAACCACATTATCCTCTATGGGCATGGCAAATAGCCCAGTTCAAGACCCATGAAAAGCCATCTATAAAAATATATCAGCTACATAGCTCCATAATTGGAGCTTTTCTGGGTGGGACTCTTGGGGTGTTGGTTAGGCTTAAGTACCAGCAGAGTAATTCTTGATAGAGGGAGAAAACGAAACTTTGTGACATGTGAAACCAAAATTTTTTAAGAGTTTGATGATTACCATATTAGGAATAATCAATTTGTTGAATCATTCCCCAATTATTTATCATTATCCTCTTTTTTCTTTTTTCTTTTTTTTTTTTCTTTTTTTTTAAAACAAAAAAATTTCAATAGGCAATGATGGAGCAGAAGGCGAACCCCGAGAACCCTAAGACCTGGCCAAGATTTGTATTAAGGGTTGACCAGTACATGTGTAACTACCTGACTTCTGGGAAAAGGACAAGACTTGCAATCTTGAGTAGTTCTCTCAAAGTCTGGATTCTTTTGAAGGTATCTCATATTAGGATTATTTTCTTTATTCACATTCAGAATCTTCATGCATTTAGGGTAGTAGAAATCATTAATTTTTACAGGACAGTTCTGTTAAAGGTAGGACTGATTGATACTTGACCCCACAACCTGATAACTGTTTTTCTAATGTAGTTAGGATTGTTCGAAATCTAAATCGGGTTGATTAATTTGGTTTTTGAACAGCCCGAGTTAAAGGTGCACTTTTTTACTTGGTTAGGGAATTAGCTTATGCTATTGTTTGTGGCATTTTACGAAATAACATGCTTGAATTGGCTAACCATATCTGCAACTATGGAAAACTAATAACATAAAGGTGATTGAACAGTAATTCTAAGGTGATTGTAATTCAGCTCAGCCACAATTTTTATCTTTAACAGCCCAAATCACATTTCTTAACTCATGGGCATAGCCTAGTGGTAGATACTTGGGGAACAAAGAAAGTAATCTTTCTACATCCTATGTTTCTTGAGTATATTTGTCATGTCAAAATATCTGGAGTTGCCTGTGACAACTCAGCATTTCTAGAGAAGTAATGGTATAATAAGTCTGCTGCTTTTAACATCTTTGATTCAGATTGCTGAATATCTATTTAAAGGAGACGGATATTATCCTGATCAACAATTTTGTTTTAGTAGTACCAGATCAATATATCTACATAACCCATTGACATCTTAACAGCGGCCAGGCATATCAGAATAGAGCACAAATATGCTCTATCCACCCAGTTTCTTTCAGAGATGGCATTATAATTTGTTGAGATATTTTTCTCATTTTCTACAGCTTTTAAAAGCATGGGACACTGCATTACCAATATTTGCTTGCCAATGAGATGGTTTAAGTTCTTATAAATATTTTGGAAGTTCTATTAATATATATTAGAGTAATGCCGTTTACCCACCAATATATATATGCACTTTTCTTTTATTCACATGACTATAAATGCTGCATCAGGCAGGACAATGATGGTAGTATATTGGCGGATCAAATAATATTGCTCTATAGATTATAGGTGTATACTGTAAAGATGAAGGATGTAAAAGAGCCGAGTTGAGCTCGAACCTGTCTGGCTCTTGGCTCGAAACTTGACAAGCCTGGAAATTTTGGGCTCCAGGTTGGCTCAATAGCTTGACAAGCTTAATATCATTGAGCTCAAGCTTAGCTCGTTTGCTAAACGAGCAGGCTCAAGCTCAAATTGTGCCAAACTTTTTTTGAATTTTTTTCAAGCCGAGCTCGAGTAGCTTTCGAGCCAGTTCAGCTCATTTACACCCCTAGTACAGATGAAAGAATGCTAGCGGGTAACAGAAATGTCTTTGGGTTCCGTCTCCGTCTCATAAAAGGGAAAGGAAGATAACTGCTCCAACATGAATTGAATTTTGATACACTCTTACTTTGACTGGACTTCTTCCTTTTCTTTTTCCTGTAATTAGCAGTGTCAAATACTGACTAGTGCTTTTTACCTCCTCAGGTTGCCAGAGGTTTCTCTAGGGGAGGATTTGAGGTAAAACCATTTACAGATGACCAGGCAAATGAAAATCAACATCAGGTTGCAATATCAATATTAAGACAAGCAAATACTAATGCTACCAATTCTGGGAAAAAAGTAACTCTAGTTCCTGTCAAAAAGAGCAAATCTAGTGGAAAATGAAATTTGCATAAACCTTCATTTTTGTACAATGCTGCAATTTTTATTTAGCATTATCTCGTTTATCTTGTACTTAAAGCGGCGAAGAAGGAAAGAGGACACTGTATTTCTCGTTCCATATGATGCCTTCACGATGTTCCTTACTACAATTGTCAGACTAGCTAGTTTCCTTTGTACTATTGCAAAGTCAAGCCAATTTTGCTGCGGAGATTTTTGTCATGCAATATTGATAATTACAGCAGTTTTTCGAGTTCAGTGTTCCAGACTCTAAATTAACCAAGTAAAATGAAATACAAATTGAGAATACTTCTACTTCCCTGCTTCCTACATGACTCGTAAGCATAATATTCCAATGCAAACTGTTCTACTAAGTTTGGTCGTTGTTTGAGAAGTAGTGGGATTGAGGATCTAGCAGCAAAATGGGGGATTGGGAAAAAAGAACTTGAGAAGTAAATTTTATCTTTGATAAGGTACCACATGATTGCTTACACATGTAATGCAATGAAGCAAGAATACAAGTAATGAAACACTGACGATATATAATGTTCTACAAGTACAAAATTCATGCTCAAGCTACCAAAACTAATAAATAATGCTAACAGTTCCTCAGAAGCAATAAAGACAATGGCTACAAGTACATGTTCTTATATTCAGTACTGCAAAAAGAGAAGATTCCAACCTCTTATATAAGAATTAACTAGCAGCAGTATTGCAAGTATTAATGCCATCTTTGCAATCGTTAGTAAGATCATTGAAAGTTTCAATCTGCTTTTTCCCTCTCAAGAACACTTCTGTATCGACGGACACCCTCATATAACCATCAAATTCAACTGGAACATCTTTGTTAAGTTTGGTTGTCTCCGAGTACCACTCGCTGTTCTCATCCCAAAGGTCCTTGTACTCATCAAGAAAATGGGTTGTGTACTTGTCCTTCAAAGGGTCAAAGAAGGATGTGTCGGGTTCATTTGTTGCGATGTAGAGGCTCCTTCCATCTTCAATCTTGTCAGCTAAGGTCGCGAGCAATGCATCAGGTGAAGTATCTTGTGCGAGATTAGGCCAGAGCTCCTTGTTCTTTGCTTTCTCCCCTCTCTCGATGTGAACTGCATCGTAATCCCAATTCAATCTCGTGGCAATTGCAGAAACAATATCCATCAACCTACTCGATTTCCATATTAAATGCCATGGCCGTTGAACAATGGACTCTGTCTCTCCTTCACACACTCTATACCAGTAATTATCTGGTTCAACAGATCCAAACTTCCTCATAATCAGAGTATCTTGTACCTCTGCAAGCTTCATAGGCGTGATCCTGAAATCCTCTACAAGGTGAAGACTCAACTTATCTTGTTTATGCCATTTACCCCAATCATCCCAAAATTGAGCTTGATCCAACACTGATGCTGCATCCTTCAAATGCTCAAAATCAAAATAAAACCTGAAATCCTTCCCTTCCTCATCCTGATTTGAAGAAGTATACATTGAATTCAAACAGATAGTCAAATCCATAACCAATGTTCGATTTAGATACTGCGCTTCACCTAATGCACACAAGAAACTCCACAAATAATGATTCATACTCTTGCATCTATCACCACCACCACTGTAAACCAAATACTTGCCATGGCTAAATGAGTTTTCAGACTCAACCATAGGAAGCGAATCATTCACAGTTTCCCCAACAACAGGCAATGCTCCCCCTTCTACAATACTAGCTGGCTTCTTTTCAAACCCAGGTTTCTGATGCTTCTTCCTCTTCCTTGCATTTACACCGGTATGGTAATCCCCAATCCCCACAACACTAAGTGTACAGTTCTCCGACCTAGCTATCACAAACCGCCTATAATCCTTATAAAATGAAGCAATTTTCCCTTCCTTAGGCCTAAACCGCCACGCCATGTCACAACTACTATCATTGGCAGGGACTGGTTTCCCAAACCGATAAAAATGTATATCCTTAAAATGCTCTATAGCCTTTCTCATCATCAAATGAAACACTTCTGGGTCCTTACAATCTATAGGACCAACACAATTTTCTGCAGCGGATTCAGGATTACCATCACTACCAGCACCACCATCATTTGGGGTTTCTACATCAGTAATGTCAATAGAACTGCCAAATTCAGTCTGGTTACGGGCTATGAAATCTTCTCCAGTTCTTATCAAAGTGTTATCAGATTTGAATGTTGCATTTGAGGTTGATATGAGAAATGTATTAATTTTTGTTGATGGATGAAAAAGTGGGTCCTCAGGTTCATATGTGGCAGCAATAATTGTGAAAATTAGAACTCCTAAAACAAATATTGTAAAACAGAGATTACCAATCATGGCCAGTGCATTTTGGCCAAGATTTTCTGGCCTGAAACTTCCTGTTCTTGACAAAGTAGACCGACCCAGCATCTTTCCCCTCCTTTTCTTTCTCTTTACACCTTCAAGTTTCTATCTTCCACTAAAATCCACTAAATGCTGTAGAAATCGAAGAAAACGCAGATTACAGAAAACCAAAAACAAAGCAAAAATCAAGTAAGATTCGAGAGATCTAGCAATTAAGTGGTTTTACCATTTAAGAATCTTAAAAACGATAGCAAATAATAAATTCTAAGATCTAAAATATACTTGCATTTTCAACTTGACATGTGAAGCTCAAGCAAAACCAATTAGCAGATTCATATCTTCCTCTCTCTGTCAAAGCAATCGATATGTAGATCCATTATTCGATTTTTAATTCTTTTAAGAAAATGAATGGGATCGTTGATGCTGTGAGCCCGAGGCGCTGTGTGATTTTGCCACGTGGAATAAACGCTTTGTCTGGACCGATGATTGTCTCTCAGTTGATATGGCGAGAGACACCGACAGTGGCAAAAATGTAATTGACGGGATGTGGGTGAATTACTATTTACGGGTAAAATTTCCAAACAAAGATTTTTATTTTCAAAAATTAATTAAATAGTCTCAGGGGCCTTTTCACAAAAACAATGCTTTTTAAAAAACTATTTCTTAATCTAACGTCGTTTCAAAACTATTTCTCAATCTACTGTCATTTCAATATTATTCATCAATATAATGTTTGTTATGAGAGAGAGGGAGTTACATTAAAACTATCAATTGAAGCGGTGATTTTATTGCAATAGAAAAAGTAATTCGTACTGACAAACAGTCAATAAAAAGATTATATGAATAAATAATAATTTTTATTTTCTATTGAGACCACCAATCCAATTGGTGGTTTCAAAATAGAATGAAAATTTTAAGTTGCCAATTTACATTTTCACTAAAATACACAATTTATTTGGTGTTTTAGTGCAACTATGAGATTTGACCACTAACCATCAAAAAGTACATGAAAAATAATGTTTTATTAAGAGTCTACCGAATTAATTAGTAGTTTCAATAAAAGAATATTTATTTGCTCAAAATATTTTTTTACCAAAAAACATTTATAATCTGGTGGTTTTGGTTCACAGTTATTTTAAGTTAAGTAATAACAATATAAGTTTCCTTACACAGTTAAAAATTATTGAGACTAAGAAAGTGTTTCGAATTGAACTTGTATGATGTTAAAAATGTCTTGATAACTAATACATGGAAAATTAATCATATTAATATCTACTCACATGTCCTCTTGTACCACACCTTGAAGGCCTCCTATTACGACGTGGATTTCGGCGTACTGCATCTTTTCTAATACCTTGATATTCTTTTTCATGCTCAATATTTATATCGGCACTCATGCGAGGAGCTTGAACCACATTTACAAATGGTTAATATGAGCTAGGAAATGTCAGATGAGTCTATTGCTCGGGTACCATCATCCTCTCAAAGAAATCATTAAATGAGTGTTTAGCATGAGATGTAGATCCATCACGTGTGCCGAAACATACTACAAAAGTATTGAAAGTAGGTATTGTATATTGAAATAGTGTTACCTCGCTTATTTCGGAGAAAGAAGCATAGGTTTGCTGGGTTGCCATCATTAGAGTATAATGAATGTTCAATGACATTTCTAATGTTGCAGATGGTACACTCCACTCAGGTTGTAGTGCATTTGATGATGTGTTGGGAATATTAACGTAATAACTTTCATAATAGTTATATGTCATATGGGGAGGAACTTGAAGTATATCGTCCATTGGCAGGACTTAACTGGAATACGTCTAGACGTCATTTCACGTCTCTTTCACCTCTGTAGTTTTTTTGGTTTTGATCAGGAGAAAACTATATAGATGGAGGGGCAGGTTGAAGCATAGGATGAGTTTCGTTACGAATTTCTTCATTCATTGCACCGAATAAGTTAAATAATCTTCGACGGAATGATGGATTTCTACGTGTTAGTGATGTTGAACTGTGATGTATATGTTGGAGCCTATCAGCCTGTATTAAAAACATATTATGGAAGAAGAGCAAAATTTATTATTAATTAGATTAAGAAATGATAAGATAAGATAAAAAGATATCGAATAATTACTACAACTCCAACTTATGCACATTGAAACAAAACCCAACATCTAGTTCGTTACACATATTAAGCGTATTGCATCAAAACCATCAGATTATTTGTGTGTTTAGGTGAAAAAATATTTTGTGAATAAATATTTTTTTATTGAAACCACTTTATTTGATGTGTTTTAGGTGAAAAAATATTTTGTGAAATAAATATTTTTTTATTGAAACCAACTAATTAATCTGGTAGAGCTCTTAACAAAATATTATTTTCCCGATACAACTTTTTTTTTTTTTTTTTTATCTTGATGTTGACTAGTCTTTTTGTTGACTAGTGGTCACATCTCATAATTGTACTAAAATCACCAAACAAATTGTGTGTTTTAGTTAAAAAGCAAATTGATAATTTAAAATTTTCATTTTGTATTAAAACCATCAATTGGATTGGTGGTCTCAATACAAAATAAAAATTATTGTTTATTCATATAACTACTTTTGCTGACTACTCTAACTTTTTCTATTGTACTGAAACCATCAATTCAATTGGTGATTTTAGTGAAATACTCTTTTTTTATGTCAGGACAAACATTAGATTGTAAATAGTTTTGAAATGACATTAAATTGGAAAATAATTTTACGAAGAGCATTATTTTTGTCAAAAGTCCCTCTACTACCTAATTAAATAGTTTCCTTATTTTGCAGTTTTTCAACGGCATAGAAATTCTATTAAAATGTTACTATTTTTTAATTAGTTAACTAAAATAAAAGGTCAAATAAAATATTCTTATTTCAATTTTATTTTTTAAAAGTAGAATAATTTTAGATTGCACAAGAATAAAAAAATCTTTAAATGACTTCAATTTTTAAAAATTATGATTTTATTAATAATTAAACCTCACTTTGTTGAGATACCAAAAAATTAAGAGTAAAACTGAAATATGTATATATATATATATATATATATATATAATATAGTATATATATATATATATAATATATTATATATAATATATATATATAATTAATTGTTCTAAAACTAAGCATATAGAATGAAACATATATTAATTTTCTAAACTAACATATAAATGAAACAAAAGAATTGAAATTGTATCGCTTTTAATAGAATTAAGAAATAAAAAAAACCAAAATTTATTATTTTGACGTACAAATCAATTAACAGACTAATTGTTGTTGTGAAAATTTATATCTTTTGTCAAAATAAACTCCAAGCGGAAAGATCTAATATTATTATTATTTTTTCTATGTCTGGTCTATATGCTTATTTGTAATTCTTGATATTATTATTAATGAATTACATTTTAAAAAATCAAAATTTATAATATTTTATCTAATAATTTAATGTAAATATATGAACTGGCATGTTATTTTAAATGCGTTTTATTTATGTGCTAAAATTAGTAATTTAGGATAAAAGGGAAAACTCAGGATTTGATTATATAGTGATATGTAAAAAGAAATTCAAAATTTTGATCACTTTAAATTAATATTTTATTTTAACTAGGTCTTTAATGTTGTGCTTTACATGTTGGTAGACATTTTTTATATTCGTGAACATTTTTTAATATTTCTTTAATTGTTGTAATAATAAATTACCAAGAATGTTTTCATCTATTAAATTACTTTTGCTCCTTCCTCACATTAATAAGAAGTATAAGATTTGTAATTACTTCAGTTAAAATAAAATTCATGAGTTAAAATGAAATAAATAATTATTATTATTTAATAGTTTAATAATAATTAATTATTATGTAATAATACTAAATAAATATTTTGATAATTATTATTATTATTTAAACACTATATAATATCGGCATGCAAAGCGAGTAAAACTAGTTTTATTTATAAAATTTAATTCAATTAATCAGATAAATGAAATTTGAAAAAGAAAAAATATTTCATTTTTATTGCTTGATTTAGTTAAAAAAAGTAGTGTATACATTTATTTATTTCATCCTATGCTTATTTATAGACAAGTATCCACTTAAATAAGAGTATTTTAGATTTTTAATAATAAATTTTATTTTTTTGAATAATAGATTTCATCAAATAAATTGAATTTTTGGAAAACCTGATAGTTCTAGTATTATTCCATTTCTTTCAAGATAATTTTTTTAACACAAAAAAAAAAAAAAAAAAAACAAAAAAAAAAAAAAAAAAAAAATCAAATTTAGTTTGATTTATACAATTCGTGTTCTAATACAAAATCAGGGGGTAATACAGTTCAAATTGTAAATTGAATTTGCATTACATAATTTGAGTAAAAAAAAAAAAAAAAAAAAAAAATCAAATTTAGTTGATTTATACAATTCCTAAACAAAATCATGGGAATACAGTTCAATTGTAAATTGAATCATTACATAATTTGAGTAGCTAAATTGAGCAAACATACAATAGAGCTTAGCCAGTTTAAAAAATCAAGACAAAATCAATTGAATGTCCATTTGAATACAATAAAGAATAATAACATTGAAGTCCTACTGTTAGGAAGGGCAAGTCACGAACCCAAACACGAGAAAAAGTTGGATACTCCCGCTATAATCGGGAAAAAAAAAAAATTGCTTCTTGGAGTTGGATGTAATCCTCCTGAGGGACCAGAAAAGCTTTCAGATTACTGTCAATGATATTTTGAGATCCTCAAATCTAAATCTGCAATGGGTAGCTCACCCAACACAACCCAACCAAGTACAAAGAGGGAAAAATCACAAAGCAGTAGGACCTATAGCATGTGTAACTAGATTACACTTTGCTGAGAGGAAAAAAACCTTTTACAGTGATAGAGGATTACAAACCTCCTCATTATGCCGGAAAAAGAAAAGATTGGAGTACAAAATTGCAGCACAAACCGATCCATATGGTTCTAAGTTCCCCTTCTGGTAAAGATTGTTTGATATTACCGTTTTTAGTATATTAAAGATGATGATTAGAGGTCAAAACGGCTAAACACCACTGCCAGATTCATTTTTCCAACAGCTAAGGTAGTGTTCTTCACAAAACATCTAAACTGGTTCTTTTTTTTTTTATCTTAATAAAAACAGTTTCAACCTTGAAAGGTCACAATGCTGCGAAACTTTTGAACCACCCATTATTATATCGCTTGTGACAGAAAATCAACCACTGCTCTGGGCACTAGCTAGATGAGAAGAAGGGAGTACATATAAGGTTTTTGTAAAAGGACTGGACTTCATATATACATGATCAAAAGGGATGTACAACACACTATTGAGGTCACAATCAATATCACCTCACAGAAAGCAGACTCTAGTCAAATCTAATTCGGTATATTAGTTTGTCCATTCATCTTTGTTTGATGGTGACATTGAAATGGTTACAAGAGTTTTAACTGGCCAAACAAAACAAAGATTCAGATTAAAACTCTAACCCGGGTTACTTGTAAGCTTTCTTCTCAAGCTGAAAGGACACCCCTCATTTGGATGAGATCTCAGAAGTAGTACAAGATGCAACGCTACGCTGTATGCGGTCCATGCTGAGCTCCATACTTCTTTGAACCATGTCTTGCAGTAGCCTCCTGGCATTTTCAGCAGCTTTATCAGAGGCATCAACTCGTGCAGCAATGTCATGAACGATTCTCTCCAATACTGAGGATGCTAATTTCTTTTCCTTAGGAGTATCCCTGAGCAAGTCTAAGAGTGTTCGCGCTCTTTCTTGAGCTTCAGAGGTTCCTTCTACAGTTAGTCGCAGAAGCCCCGGGATTGCACCTTCTTTAAGAATGAGTTCTCTGTACTTATCTCGACTGCTCTGGCACAAAGAAAGCAAAGCTCCAACAGCGTGTTCTGTGCTAACAAGTGATCCATCTTCAACTGTCTCTACTACAGTTAAAATCCCACCATCTGAGTCTGTGATTGCATTTCGTCCTTCTTCAGAGTGGGAAATGATTTCAAGCAAAGCTGTTGCTTTCTCTGCAAACTTTGAATATTTCTTACATTCTTTGAGAAGTTTAATTATAGGGGGAACTGCCTTGGCATCAACAATTGAATGGGAATTCTTAGTGCAGGTTGAGAGGTTGTGTAATGCTGTCACAGCATCAACTTTTCCTTGAACACTCCCAGAGTTCAGAATCTGAACCAGAAGATGCGGCGCTCCTGAATCTGCAATGGTTGGCTTGTTTGGTTCAGCAGCTGAGAGTGTTAAAATTGCAGCAGCAGCTAACTCCCTTAAACTACCATTTTGTAACTTGAGAAGTTCCACAAGTGGGGGGATAGCACCAGCTGTCACTATGTTGACTTTGTTTCTGATAAACAAGAAATATAAAAAGGACATGATCAGATAAAATGACTTCATAGAGGATTTCTTAAGTAAAGTTAGAACAATAGTCAAAGGTTAGCAGAACAAGGAAAATGGGCATAGAGTATAGAATACAAAAGAAATCACATGGAAAATATAAATAAACTGTACTAGAATACATACGAGAAGAATTCACAAAACAAATATGAAAATTCACCATTATTTTGATCATATATCACATAAGTACTCAGTTTACTCACAGAGATGCATAGTAGCAGCATAAAATGGAAAAATAAAAAGGGGAAAAGAAAACAATCCTGGATACTGTGTCTAAGTGAGTAAATGAGACCTTCAAACCAGATATACTGCAACTGAAACGATTAATCAACTGAGCCGGAAGGCAATTTCATGTCTAAAAGTCAATGATAAAATCCCATGGAAATTCATTATGGTATTAACGACAATCCCAATACAATTTCCCACCCCCATCCCCATTCAGGAAAAAGGTATAGAAATTAATGTACTTCTGCAACAACTAATCCCCTCCAAACAAATTGTATCATTGCTGGCAAAATCCAATTATGAGAAACCCTCTCCAACATTTCATAGCATATGAAAATACTCCTCCATGTAATGATACCAATAATTGCAGGTAAAAATTAGGAAAAACTTAAGATACTTAACTTTGTAAGTACAGAATTTCCCAGGAGTAAAAAAGGGCCAAGTTAATTTTTCCCATCATAAGATCCACAGTAAGACTAAGACTTGCAGTCAATCTTCATTAAGGAGATTCAAAACTCAAAAACACATAAAATCAAGACTTTGATTCTATTTTCAAATTGGTTACTGCGCATTTCTTTTTTCTATTATACCCTCCGAAAGTACAAATCAGTGCCCACCAGAAACAAACTGTTTAAATTCCATTTGGCCAATTATCAGAAAATCCACAACAGTATAGAAAGTAACCATTAAAAAAAAATGGAAGCTTATGTTCAAGAAAGAGAGAGACCGTTCATTTCTGGCGGCGAGATTTAGGAGAGCGAGAAGAGAGGCGTGACGAGCGTCGAGATTAGAAGAGAAAAGCATGAAAACGAGGGGCTGGATTACGCCGGCTGCGGCGAATTTGCAGCGAGTCTTAGCGGAAGATTTTCTGATAAGCTTTCTTATATCTCTAGCTGCTTGTATTTGGGTATGTAGATCTCCATTAATAAGCCTATCTGAAACTTCAAGAATTAGGTTTTGCTTCCTGAAATTCCATGCCTCTTCATCTTCGTCTCTAGCGGTGGACGATACTGTAGATGATGTATCTTCCTCCGCTTCTTCCTGTCCCATTTCTTTCTCTCTGATTATCTGTTAGGTGGTTTTTGTCTGTGTTTCTTATCTTTTCGATAATTGAGGTTTCGGTCTTTCCTGTCTGAAAGTGAAACCCACGGAAAAAGAAGAAAGCGGAAAAAAAAAAAAAAAAATGCAATAAAGGTGAAACCACGGAAAAAGAAGAAAGCGGAAAAAAAAAAAAAAAAAAATGCCAATTTCCTTTTATTTTTAATATAAATTGGCCCCCTTCAATTTTTATTACTTTATATCCTCAAAAAAAGAAAAAGGAAAAAAAAAAAAAAAAATGCAATTTCCCTTTTATTTTTAATTCATAAATTGGCCCCTCAATTTTATTACTTTATATCCTCAACTTTTATTTTTATTACCAAACACTTAATTTATAAATTTACATTTATTAAACACTTCTTTTTAACTTGCAAATCATTTTATTTGATTGATTGATTAAATAATTATTAAATTATTAAAAAATATAAAAATTATTATTTTAAAAATTATACTAATTATACATTAGATCAATATTTTACATAAAAATAAAAAAATCGTAAAATCTATTGTATATTTTATAGAAATGTGTACAATGTCAATAAAATTTGAAAATTAAATACATGATAGGTCATTTATAAAGTTCAAAATGTCATATGATTAAAATTATAAAATTAAGGAGTAAATTTATATATTTGACTTTTTTTTTTCTTTTTAGCATTAATAACAGTTCGGTTTGAATTGAAATTTAATAAACCAAAATCGATTTATAACTACTTATCTCAAAATTAAATTGAAAACGACAGTTCACATTCATATATAAATTCAATTTACTTTAAAAAATAATCGAAACTGATGGTTCAATCATCGGATACTTGAATTTAATCTTGTTTAACTCAATACATTTTTTTTTTTAAAATCTACTAATTTTGGGGTTTAACCCAATGCAAGCTTGTTTATCTTTAATGCCAAAAATTTTACTTTCAATTTAATTAAGCTTAAACTAAAATAATTATTTGTGAATCTTCATATTTAATAAATTAATGAAATTTGTAAATTTAACCATTACAATCTCTTTATGGTTAAACATTACATTTCTTAATTTATAAGTTTAATAAAAAATTTTGCCTTTGAAAATTTCCTAACAATTTATTTAATTAAGAAAATTTGTAAAATTTCAAAATTATAGTTTCTTTGAAATTAATTTGAATATTCATATTTATCTGTAAAGTTATTGATTCTTTTATGAGAATTTTTGAAATTTATTGGAAATAAAATATATTAATATTTTTCAAAATATTTGCATTATATTAATTATATTTTTCACTCTAAAATAAAATAAGACATGGAATGAATACACTACGAAGAAATTTCAGTATTTATAAAGAAAAATTTTAGAAATTATATGGTCGGTCACGGTTTAATAAGGGGAATTGAAACCCTCGATGGGATATATAATTCTTTTTGGCATTGCAAATATCACCTCCACAAAAATAAAAATTTATTGGATGAACAAGAAAATTTAGGTTAGGGCTTAAAAAAACATCATTAGAAATTATAATAATAAGGTTGTGAAAGAAAAGCCGGCAGGCAACATAGAATATAACTAGGATATTATCTTATTCTATTCTATGTTATGAAGTCTATTGACATATATAATGTCGTAATATTATATAATATTTCTAGGTTTTGATTGCATCCCGAATTATTTGATTTCATTTTATTCTAATAGTTCATGCGATTGTTATTTTCCTTTTAAAAAAAACGTATATAATATGGTAGGGTTAATTATAAAATTTTTTCAATAAAGTTTCAAATTTTGCAATTTAATCCATATAGCATTTGAGAAATTTTGATACGGTACTTAAAAGAATTTTAAAATTGGATATTTTATTATTATTATTACCTTTTGAAAAATGCATTATTTAGTAAATGAAATTTGATTAATCAATTATTTGATCATTCCGTCAGAATATTAAGCAATTTTAGTTGTCAATTGTGCAACAAAAATTAAAGTAAAAAAAAAAATCATCTCAGGGTGCAAATTATAATGAATGGTTTAAAGTTTAATAGTTTAGGTTTTAAAATATATATTTTTAAAATTTTAAGGGCTAGAGAATTGTAGTTTTAAAGTGTAAAGAACTAAAGTGTGATAAGAGAGTTTAAATTTTTGTAATAAGAGCTTGAATTATTAGCAAAATTTAGTGGGTAAAATAGCAATTTTGAAACAATAAATGTCATATTTATGGTCCTTTTCGGTAAAATTAATTATTTTCAACAGTTTTATTAATATTTCATTAAATATTGAAGTGAGTAATTTATTTTTTCGTATTCTAAATATTAATATAAATATTACGATACAAAAAATTATAAATGATAAAAATAGTATCAAAATATGCTAAAAGCTGTTTACGAACACAAATATATATATGTATTAGCGAAAACCTTATAATATAAGCTTTTTGTAATTAACTATGCAAGAGTCCTTTTCAGGTGACACCAACGAGGTGATGGCTGCAATTGACAAGAACAAATAGAAGGGGTTCATATATATAAATAACAATAAACAAAAACAGTTAAGATTTCTTAAGATCAAAGAAAAATTGGTCTTGTCTCATTTGTTATCACAGTCAACATCTTATATAATTATGTCTCAATAACTATAATCATGTCTTAATACACTGCTGTCATTTCCATATAAATTTGCTTTAACATATAACAATAATGTTGTTATTTTTCTGTTTTTATTTTTATAAAATGGTATTATAAATTAATTTCTTGTCATTTACATTAAGGCTATATATATTTGGCCATAATATTTAATGCAGCAGAAGTCAAAATATTGTCTTTATTAATTATTACGTTCTGTAGCATAATATTTATATTAATATCTAGAATCTGAGGGAACCAATTTTGAATATTGGCCGTAGATTTAAACTCAACATCACTTCTTCAACAACATTATTCAATACACTAGATTAATGCAGGGGAGTGTGACATCCTTAAAATCGATCAGAAACACCCTTAACGTTAAATATCAAAAAGAAAAAAAAAAAAAAGTGTTTCAAATATCTATTTATACAGATAAACTCTTAATTATTGATTGAAGATTGAAAGTATAATAATTCATCATCAAACAATATCAATCTCCTTGGCTCTCAGTAATAGATTTCAACGATGGCTCCCATGCTTCAGACACACTCCAAGGCCTCCTCTTTCCTTTCCAAGACGCTGAACCTGACTCCCTGTTTCCACCTTCTTTTATCTCACCTTTATTCTTCTTCTTCTTCTTCTTCTTCTTCTTCTTTTTCTCTGAAATAATCGAACCTAACCCCTTCTGCTTGACATCAACGCCAGTGAATCTAACGTGCTTTTTAACCCCACTTTTACTTCTACTTGAAACCTGCACAACAGCATTACTATTAGAAGCAAAAGAAACAGACGCGTCGTCTTTATAACTTGGTTTCTTGATTTTTCGCCGGAGTTTCTCGACAGTTTGAACCGGAACAAGAAAATATTTCTTTCCAGGAAGAAGGATTTTCTCCGGTCGGACAACAGAATCCCAAGGACGTCTAAAAACCTCAGGCTTGGTAAGAACATAAGAAGGGTATTTTTCCAAGATTCTTACAGCAGGTATTGCCATATAGTAAGATTCTATGGCTCCACCTGCATGCACAATTTTGAGGGCAGAAGAACCCTCATTTTCAAGAGTTGAAGGATTATTATTCGACGGCTTTGGTTGTTTATGGAGTTTAAATAACTTGGTAATCATGTTTGGACGATGATTGATGTGTAATGCAGTGGTCAACAAGAATAGATAGAATAGCCTTTATTAAGAGTGTCTTCTGCTTTTATGGTTTGAGTTATCGATGAGTTCAAGAAACAGAGAAATTTCGTTTTTCCTCGTTATTTTTGAATGAAATGTATAAAAGGAATGTGGCCTATTTTTGAACCCGTGTGTAAGTCCCAATTGGTAGGGCAGTTGAAGGGTATAACCTGGCCGAATTCTTGAGATATCATAACCGGACTTAGATTAGTGTAGTATAACCGGATCACTATCATTAAAATCTATGCTATTTTATAAAATGGATCCTTTCATATGTAGATTAAGTAGTAGTAATAAATCGGATGATTCTGCATCTTCAGAATTTAAAAGGATTATTAGTAGCAATGAATCAAATTTTAAGGATATAAATAAAGCTATTAATGAAAAGATGATTTCTACAGTAATTGTTCCTGATAAAAATGATTTTAAGATCTCTACAGTAAATGTTTCTACAGTTTTCTACAGTAATTGTTCCTGATAAAAATGATTTTAAGATCTCTACAGTAAATGTTTCTTCAGTTGCTAAAAACCTCAATATTTTAACTAAAAAAGATATTGAAAAAGATTTATTAAATGAAGTATCTAAAATAAAAAACTTAATTAAAATGAAGCAGATTCTAAAAACTCATACTTTTGAAGAATTAAAATCTGAATATTTAGATTATAGACTAAATAGGCAAAATGAAATAAAATTCTTTGATTGGTATAACTTAATTAAAGAAAAAATTCAATCTCATGTTTGTAAACCATATCACAATTCACAGTCTAGTAAACAAGAATTTGTCAACATATTAAAAGATTAAAAGATCAATTAAGTAAACTTGAAGTGCATTCAGCAACTACTCAACCAGTAGCTCTTGACACACCTCAAGCATCACGAAATATAAATAATTTAGAAAAAACTTCTAATTCTGAACTTAGTGAACCAGAATCAGAAGATGTAAAACAATTTGAATTAAATCCAATAAATCATCATGGGGAAATAGTAAATAGAGCTCCAGATTTAGGTATAATTGATAAACCGAATACCATAAATCAATTTAAATATAATGCTTCAACAATTGATAAACCGAATACCATAAATCAATTTATGGTTTAAGTGAATATAATATATTAAGTATTTTGCAACAAATGACAATGTCTGCAAATGCTTATAAAACCCAGTCAACTATTTCTGATAAAGCTATATCAGAAATCCTCATTGCGGGATTTACTGGACAACTTAAAGGTTGGTGGGATTAGAATTAGTAGTTGTTGTTCTTGTTTCTTTAGTACCTTCAGTGGTTCCTATACCTGTCATGTTCCTTG